CTAACTCCCTACCTACACTCACCTTTCCTGGCTCCATCCCCGCCTCTTCGACCTGTTTGTTTCCTCTCCACCTATCCTCTCCTCTATCCCTCTTCTATCCGCCTCCCACTCTCTCCCTATTTATTTCAAAACCCCCTTCCCCTCCCCCTTTTCTGATGAAGGGTCTAGGCCCGAAACGTCAGCCTCTCTGCTCCTATGATGCTGCTTGGCCTGCTGTGTACATCCAGCCCTGCACCTTGTTGTCTCGGATTCTCCAGCATCTGCAGTTCCTACTATCTCTTGTTCAGAATAACCTGTTCATTGATGCTTAATTTGGATTCTATGAGAATCACTTAATTCATTACATCCTTCATTCAACCTAAACAAATGAGTCGAATAACAGAGATGAGGTGAGAAACAGTGCTCTTGACATCAAGGGAAGTGTCTAGGTCCGAAACATCAGCCTTCCTGCTCCTCTGATGCTGCTTGGCCTGCTGTGTTCATCCAGCTCTACACCTTGTTATTTCTTGACATCAAGGTCACTTTTGGTTGAGTGTGCCATCAAGGAGCATGGGTAAAACCTGGAGACAGTAGGAATTGGGAATTGGTGAGTAAGATTTGCTGGTTGGAGTCGAATCTAGCATAAAGGAAGATGGTTGTGGCTTTTGACGGTCCAACGTTTCAGTTCTCGGATATCTTTGCAGGTGTTCCTCAGGGTGGTGTCCAAGGCAAAACCATCTTTAGCTGCTTTATCACTGCCTTTCTCTCAATTATCCACTGAAAGTGGGGATGTTACCTGATGGTTGATAAGCGATAAGAGCAACCATTCATGATGCTAGATACTTTCTGCACTAAGTTAATTTCAAAGATGTATAGTTTATTTGGTTTGATATTTATTAAGTTAGTGTCTATGTTACTGCAACCCTGCAGCAGTGTAAAGAAAGTCACATTTGATTACTTAGAAAATTTCGTTCCTTGTTATCTTTTTGAGTATATATTTCATGAAAATTAATGTTTTATAGAAGCATTATATTCTGACAATTCAGTCTTTGGTTATCCTAAAACTATTTTTTAAGGCTAGTTTTGAAGTTAGTTACAGACATCTTTGGTACATCTGTGCTTCATATCCAAGAAGCTAATTTTAAAACTTGTTAAAAGAAACAGCAAAGCAAGAGGAATAAGTGACTGAAAGTCATAACATTAATAACCCTGAGGCAAAATTTGAGGTTGAAAATAATTTTCATTTCCAAAAGAGTAAGAACTCAGTTAGTTCTATTTTGATAAGATTTTGACCTTTGGAATGGGAAATCCATATGGATAAGTTTATGATAGATGAAATGATGTATGAATCTAGAGGAAGAATGAATTCCAGACTGAAGAGATTTGTATCACTTGATCTGATTGTTCCTACTTACCTAAAATTAGGTCTCACTCATGTTGAAAGCACTACGCTTGAGTTTGCTGGCCCAACATGTCGTGCAGCTAGTAAGGCAAGTAATAATTTTATTATAAATGTCAGCATTATTGTAAATCATCAGTGTTCATTCTGATTGATACAGCAAGCAATCAATCACTTTTCTAATATTAATACATCTGTGGTTACTGCCAAGTATATTTTTCTGTTCATTTGTGTATTTAGGAATCAGTAAGTTACTGAGGGATAGTCTAGTGAATTCTTAATTTGTAATATTTCCTCAAATTGCTTGCATCAGGATCTAATATTTTAAATATATTAGAGTTTTTTTTTCTCTAAGTTTTGGTTTCATTTTGAATCTGGTTTGTTAATCAGACCTACAGATGCTTGATTATGCCACGAATTTAAAATGTCAAGAAATTGTACATTGTTGAATCAAGGGAGAGGTAATCAAATGAAAAGGGCAGATGGCTTTGTTACACCGATTATAACCTTTCAGGTTTTAATCCATCTGAGTCTCTTCTGAGATCCACTGGTGTATTCAGTGGGTCAATGATGAAAAATAGCCAAATCTGATCATTATTTGGTTAAATAGTGAATGATTAGTGACCAGACTGGAGAAGCGTGTCTGTGTGTGTGTCTGTGTGTGTGTGTGTCTGTTTGTTTTGAAAGAAGTTATTGTGTGGATGTGCAAACAGGTATTTCTTCTGCGATTGGGTGTAACTTTTGTACTGAGCAATGATGCAAATACTTACATACTGATTTTAAAATATTTCCAGTGATGTTCACTACACTTGAACTGAGCTCAGTATTTTGTGTGTGATTCTGTGCCTGTAACTGTTTGTTTGTTTGTTTCTTTGTGTGTGCATGTAGAAATGGTTATTACTTTTCTGATATTCTAACAGTTGTTTCTGTAGAGCAATGATGCAAGAAGAAGAAACCTAGAAGATAGGAGCAAGAGTAGGCTCATTCAACTCCTCGAGCCTGCTCCCAACTCCTCGAGCCTGCTCTGCCATTCAGTATGATCATGGCTGAGCTCAATTCCCTAATCCCATCTCCCCTTGATCTCTAGCTACAAAACCTGTATCTAAAGCCTTCTTGAAAACATAATGTTTTGGACTGAATCACTTCTATAACAGTGAATTCCACGCAGGTTTACCACTGGCGAATACATTTCTCCTTATCTCAGTCCAAATAAGTTTACCCCTTGAGCTATTACCCCTAGCTCTGGAATCTGCCCCACCACCTGGAACATCTAGCCTGCCTAGACTTGTTAGTATTTTACAGGTATCTATGATATCCCTGCCTGCTCATTCTTCTAAACTCCAGTGAACGCAACCCTAACTGACTTAATTTATTCGCATACGTCAGTCCCACCAGCCCAGGAATCAATTTGGTGAACCTTCGTTGCTCTCCCTTTTAAAGCAATAATATCCTTCTTCAGATAAGGAGACCAAAATAGTGCACAATATTCTAGGTGTAGCCTCATCAATGCCCTGTATATAATTACAACGAGACATCCTTATTGCTGTATTTGAATCCTGTTGCTATGAAGACCAACATACAGTTTATCGCCTTTACTGTCTGTTGCATCTGTGTGTTTACTTTCAGCAACTGGTGCTCATGGGTACCTAGCTCTTGTTGAAAATTCCCCATGCTCAGTTTACAGCCAATTAAATAATAACCTGCCTTCCCATTTTTGCTATCAGTGGCAACCTCCCATTTATTCACATTGTATTATACTTGCCATCACCTTCCAAAACCATGACCGCTTCCATCTAGAAAAACAAAGGCAGCAGATATATGGAATAGTACCGCCTGCAAATTCCCCAGCCAACACTCATCCATCCTGACTAGGAAATATATTGCTGATCCTTCAGTGTCGCTGTGTCAATATCCTGGCATTCCTCCTGAACAGCATTATGGGTCTACCTACAGCAAATGCACTGCAGCGATTTGAGAAAGCAGCTCACTATCTTAAAGGCAACTAGTGATGAGCAATAAATACTAGCCCAACATGCTATGAATGAATAAAATATATTCACTTTGCTTTTAAATATTTTCAGTGATGTTCGCTACATGAACTGAGCTTGGTCTCCATGTGTATGGGTACCTCATTCCTAAAGTTATCAGAACTACCCATCTTGGTGGTGTTATGATCTCAGCTATTGTTATTACTGGACAAGTCAGGCTGTGATCTGGCTTGATAGAACATATTTTTTAAATGAGGTGGTCTTTCACTGAAACTCAAGCACACAGTGCAGTGGATTTGATTTTAACAAGAAACAGGAGTTTATTACACAAAGAAGGTAAAATAGCTAAGCCAAACTATTTATGTATAAAACAGCTTGAAAGATTTCAAAGCGTGTGGTAAAAATTGAATTACATCTATCCTGACGTCATGAAACTAGAGCATTCAAATACCAGAGAAAGTTCCCTTTGCTATCAAATCTATATTTTAAATACTAGTTATCACATAATTAACTAGTTCTTCAAATTAAGATCAAAAATGAAATATACTTCTTTGCGGGTTACATTGTTAGTCATCAGTAGGTTTCATCTAACTGTTTCATTCAATTCTCAGTCTTGAAAGTTTGATGGCCTGTTCTTTGATCAGTCACACAACTGAGCTGTCATTTTCTTCAAATAATCCCTCAGGCTTCTAACCCAGTACTACTTCTGGTCTGGAATTTTCAAACTAAAATCCTTGCATTGAGATGACCTACTTTCCAACTATTCTGAGTGCTTTCTCCAGACAAAACTCTTCTTGCATCTAACTTTAACCAGGATTTCTGCAAACTGAACCCTAAAAGCTTTCTAATCTTGTTCTTTTGCATAAGCAAAAGAATCAAGTCCATGACAAATTGATTTAGTTCGAGATTTCTTCTACCCAGTTGGAAAATATCCTAATGCAAACAAACTCCTATTTCACTTCCAGGTATATGCTCTCTCGTATGTTGGTTTAAAACATGAGACTGCAGAAAGGCTGACAAGTTAATCATTGAACCCCCTCTAACACAGACCAAAACCCTACCTGCCACCAATTTCACATCCAATCTGTCAAATAAATGTTAATGTAAATATTTATAGATCCCTCACCTTGCATTAAAGTAATTAAAGCTGCTGTGTACATGTTCCATTTTAATAAGCAAGCTTATTTATACTAATTTGGAATGACTTAATTACCTTTAGTGATTTAGAAAGTACTTTCAAAATAATTTTTTCTTTGATATATGTGGATGTCAATGATTTCAGCTAACTGTCTTTTTTTGGCTGCAACCTCTACATGAGAAACGTATTCCACACAAATATGAAGAAAGTAGCTTTGAAGTCAGATTCTTAGTTAATTGATAAGTAGTGAAGAAAGAGCACATTGTTTCAAAGGGTTCTATTTTTAGGTAGTGATTAGTTTATTTCTATCCCAGCATTAATTTATTTCACGTCATTCTGTGCCAGTTGAGACAAGTTGTACTGTGGTTATCACACTATTGATTCTTTCAGTTTCACAGTTATTCTAACATGATAAACAAATATTGGTCGCCACTCTCATTCTCTATCGTACTCATTTTACTTTCTTTTATTTAACTCATTGAAAACTCTGCTTGTATCTTTACTCTTCTCTGTATTTTACTGTTCCTTAGATGGATGTCTAGGAGGCAGTGTGGATCTTGCAGCTGCTCCTAGGAACACAGGCTTAGTTAAAGAATTATTATAGTTTTACAGTTTTTCCCAGTTATATTTCACTAATATAACTTTTTTTATTCAGTTGTTTCGTTAACAGTCAAACAAAAAAAAATCTTTTTTTTTTCAAACGGACTTTTTTAAAAGCGCTTTCCAGGGGCTATGGTGAATGGCTGAGTATTTTTTATTCTAAAACAAATTTAGAAGTTTAAAAAGAACTATACGCATTTTAAAAGGATTTCTTTTAACATTGCAAAAGTTTTTTGATTTGAAAAGCCCAGCAGTTTTTTTTTTAAAAGTAAGGAGTTGTGTTTTCATTTCGGGGAGTCATACACATGGTCGTTTCTACAGGAGATTTTTTTCTTCAAGGAATTTATTGAAGAGAGGTCTTTTTTTTTATTCAGTTAATCAGCTAATTGATTTTATTTAAGCTTTATATGTTTGTATGTATCTTTTAAAACTTTTTTTGACTTTAACATTATTTTCTGTAGGTCATGAGTTATTTTATATATCAGATGTTCTTGAAAGTTCCCTTTTTTTAGGCTTAATGTTATTAGGGACATACATGAGATACAGAGTAAGATGCCAAGTAGATTTAGAAAAGTTGTTACACAGCAAGATCAATCAGATAGATGGGTGACTGTCAGGAAAGGTAAGAACTTGTTTAAAAGTCTCCAGTGGCTCTTCCTGTATCAAATAGATATCCGGTTTTTGATACTGTTGAAGCCGATAGCCTTTCCAAGGAAAATGGAAGAGCGAGTCAGTTATTTTTCCTAGGAATGATTCTTATGTTAGGCAGAGTTTGATAAAATTTAATAGCATTATTGTTATAGAGGACTCTCCTGTCAAGGGAATAGACAGGAGATTCTGTGGCAGTGAGTGTAAATTTAGGACGGTATGTTGCTTTCCTGGTGCTAGGATTAACGATGTCTGTAAATGCTTCAAGCATATTGTTAAAGGGGAGATTGAGAAGCCAGAAATAATTGTACACATTGGTAGCAATGAAATTTTTAGGGATAAGACTAAGACAGTACAGTGAATTTAAGAAGTTAGGTAGAAGATTAAAAAATAGTACCTTAAATGTAGTAATCTCTGGTTTACTCCCAAACTGAAATGAGGGAAGAAACAAAAGGATAAAGGAGATAGATCAATGGCTGAGGAGCTGGTGTAAGAGGAAAGTTGAGAAACAAATATGTAGGAAGATCTCTGATATAGGTAAGCATAATAAGGTTGTAATAATGGGGGATTTTAATTTTCCAAACATTGACTGAGGCTACCATAGTGTTACATTACAGTTTTTTAAGGCAAATTTTAATGGTATGAAACAAGAGCTTTCAAAAGTTGATTGGAGTAGCCTGTTCGCAGGTAAAAGGATGTCTGACAAATGGGAGGCTTCCAAAAGCGTGATGATGAGAGTTCAGAGGCATTAGAGTGAAGGGTAAGACTGGTAAGATTATGGAACAGTGGTGAGTAAATGTATTGAGGTTCTAGTCAAGAATAAGAGAATCTTATTTTAGATATAGATAACTTGGTTCAGTTGAATCTCTTAATCAATATAAACAGTGTAGAGGCATTCTTGACAGAGAAATCAGAAAGGCAAAGTGGGAATTTGAGATAGCATTGGCAGATATGTTTAAGGATAATCCAGAGAGATTCTACAAATACGTTAAAAGCAAGAGGATAAATAGAGAGAGGATAGGGCTCCCTAAAGATCAAGGAGGTCGTCTTTGTGTTGAACCCCAGGAGATGGGAGAGATACTAAATGGATATTTCGCGTCAGTTTTTACTGTGGAGAAAGAAATGGAGTCTAGTGAATGCAGAGAAATAAATTTTGATGTTTTAAAAACAGTCCTCCATTACAGAAGAGCAAGTTCGGAGGCCTTTGAGAATATAAAGGCTTGATAAATCTCTGGAACCTGATGTAATGTATTCCAGAACGTTGTGGGATGTAAGGGAGGAAAATGCGAGACCCCTTGCAGAAATATTTGCATCATCTATAACTGAGTGAGGTGCCTGATGACTGGAGGGTGGCTTATGTTGTACCTTTTGATTAGGAAAGGTTGCAAAGAGAAACCAGGGAACTATAGACCTGTGAGTCTGACTTCACTTGTGGGTAAATTGTTGGAGGTGATCTAAAGGTAGGATTTATGGACATTGAGAAGCAAAAGTTGATTTAGGGATAGTAAGCATGGTTTTGTGTGAGGAAAATCATGTCTCACAAACTTGAATGAGTTTTTTTTTGAGGAAGTTACCAAAAAGTATGAGGGCAGAGCAGTAGATGTTTCTTTGGATTTTAGTAGAGCCTTTGACAAGCTTCCGCGTGGTAGACTAGTAAAGTTAGATTATATGGGATTCAGGGTGAGCTTGCCAATTGGATACATAATTGGCTCAACAGCAGGAGACACAGTGCTGGTGGAAGGTTGCTTTTCAGACTGGAGGCCTGTCACGAGCGGTGTTCTGCAGCGATCGGTTTTGGCCCACTTTCATTTGTCATTTATATAAGCGATTTAGATGAGAACATAGAAGGCACAGTTAGTAAGTTTGTGAATGATAGCAAAATTGGTGGCATATTAGACAGTGAAAAAGGTTTTCTAAGATTACAAAAGGATCTTGATTGATTGGGTCAATGAGCTGAAAAATGGCAGATGGAGTTCAATCTGGAAAAGGTAGAGTTTATACAATTAATGGTAGGGCCTTGGATAGTGTTGTAGAACAAGGAAACTTGGGGGTGCAAGTACATAATTATTTGAAGTTTGCGTCACATACGGGTAGGGTGGTTAGAAAAATGTTTGGCATGCTTGCCTTCATTGCTCAGTCCTTTGAGTATAGGAGTTTGGAAGTCATGTTGAGGTTGTACAGGACATTGGTGAGGCTTCTTCTGGAATACTGTGTCCCATTCTGGTAGCCCAGAAGCTGGAGAGGGTTCAGAAGAGATTTACCAAGATATTGCTGGGTATGGGAGGTTTGAGTTATAAAGAAAGGCTGGATAAGCTGGGACGCTTTTCACTGGAGCGGCAGAGATTGAGAGGTGACTTGATAGAAGTTTACAAAATAATGAGAGGTATAGATAGGGTTAATGGTAGTTGTCTTTTCCGTAGGATGGGGCATTTCAAGACTACGGGCACATTTTTAAGGTGAGAGGAGAGAGATTTATAAAAGACGGGCAATTTTTTTATGCTGAGCGTGGTTCGCGTGTGTAATAAACTTCCTGAGGAAGTAGTGGATGTGGGTACAATTACAATGTTTAAAAGACGTTTGAATAAATATATGAATAGGAAAGGTTTGGAGGGATATGGGCCAGGAGCAGGTCGGTGGGACTCGTTTAGCCTGGGACTATGGCCTGGACTGCTTCGACCAAATGTTGTGTTTCTATGCTGTATGGCTCTATTGACTCTGTGCTTGCTGCTCATGGTCAAGCGGTGCCTTGATTTTTAAAAAATCCTCATGTTCGTTTTCAAAATCAAACAAGCCCATGTTCCCCCTCTCTTTTTACCTTCCCTATCCCAATAATATCCAAGCTATCTGTGATGCTCTAATTCTGGCCTCTTGTGCATCTTGATTTTAATTTCTTTATCATTAGTAGCTGTCCCTTCAGAGCCTAGGGTCTGAGTAACGTAGGTATCTTTGCTGGCCTCTCCTCTGCATTTGTTTCCTCCTTTAAAACAATCCTTAAACTCTAAACCTGTGTCCTAACCTCAGCTGACTTAATATCAGTATTTTGTTCTTTGCACTTGTGAAGCACACTGGAATAGTTCATTATCTTAAATGCACTATCCAGATATAAGTTGTTTTTAGGAACAGTCAAGTAGGAAAGGTCTTCAAACTCTGTTGACTTTTAAATGCTGAGTAACACTTAGCCCTTAAAGTATATTTCATTTAAAAATGAATTAATGATTTAATGTCTAGTATTTGAATTTAATTATGTAAGTATACTTAAGTCAGTAATACCAAAATATTCAGCTTGATCTTCACATTTAAACACCACTTTTTTGCAATATTATTATTGTTGAGATGACCATAAAATGCAACATTTTGATATTTGTCACTTGATAATAACAGTTCAGTAATTTAACTGCTTTGGTTATTTGGATTTTAGAGATGCACGATACTGAAAGAAACAGCATTTTTGAGAGGTTAATTAATGTAATAAAGCCCACATTAGCCAACAAATGTAAAGAAAATTTCTCCAAGCTGTAGAATTAACTTCAATAAAGTTTAAGTTTGCTGCCAATTAAATACAGTTCAGAGTTAAATTGAGATGTTTCTAGTATCATAGTTTTTAATCTAATTCTGACTATTAAATGGCCTTTTAAAATTTATTCATAAAAATGGATAAGTATGAATGAATTGCTGTCTGCAATTTTAACTGGGCCCTAGAAGGCCTTGAAACTTGGTATTAAATGTACCCGAATAGAGAGATTTCACTGATTTTTAATATGTGAGAAAGGTTGAAAATAAGTACCTTTTACTCACTGTACTTTCTATCTCATTTTTGATGAGAGCATTGGGGATGGCAAAAGTCCATTTGGCAACTGTCAAAATGTTTATTCTCTTGATCAATATGCTAAGATTTGTTTCTCCTTTTTACGTAAACTTCTGAGTCTTCTTTCCTTATATTAAATTAGCTACAGCGTTCTGCTGATTTGATCTCTCTTCCTAAACTACCCATTAACTGTGGGAAGAGCCTAATTGCATCCTAGAGCAATGCTACTCTCTGTAGTAACCAAGGACCATCCAATGCATTTAGAAAATATACCACCATGTCTATTGTAAGAATCTTTCTGTTGTAGCACTATTCTAGGTCGGTCTCCTGACTTGTCCCATTGCAGTTCTAAGATGTACAATGGTAATCTCTTTAATTTTTCTTTGAGAGGTGGAACAAATATATGGAATGTGACCTCCCTCAGGCTGTTTCAACATTTTTCATGCTGATGTTCAGCATTTTTTTTTTCACTTGAATTTTATGGCTGAGGAATAGTTGGAAAATAAAATTTGTTATTTACCTTCTTTAAATGCTTTATGCTTTAGATTCTGTTGTTAAATTTCACTTTTTATACATAAAATCTTTATATGCTACAGGTATTATTTCCTTATTCTTGCTCTGGTGATATTCAAAAAACTTCCGAGGAAGGTCAACTATCTTCCACCACGCTATCCACTGGGAGTTTAACTTCAAGTGATCCAACAGATATTGGTCCTCTCAGTCCAGGTTTGCAGTTTCATTTCCACATATTCTACTATCTGTTGAAACTTCTGTGATGCAGCATATTTTGACACCCCAAGTGTTGTATAAATGCACATTGTTGTGCAAAACAATTTTATATCTATATTCGGTATTCGATTCTGCATGATTAAACATAAATTTTGCATTACTAAGGGATGAATGAGCATTATTTAACACGCATTTGCATCCCCAACTGTTGCTTTTGTAGTACTGTGTACCGTAAGATATAGGAGTAGAATGAAGCCAATTCCACTGCCATTCGATTATGGCTGATATATTCCTCAAACCCATTCTGCCTTCTCCCATAACTCTTGATCTCCTTACTAATCAAGAACCTATCTGCCTCTGCCTTAAACGCACTCAATGACTTGGCCTCCACAGTCTTCTGTGGCAATGGATTCCACAAATTCACCAACAGCTGGCTGAAGAAGTTCCTTATCATCCCAGTTCTAAAAGGTCATCCCTTCACTCTGAGGCCGTACCCTCGGGTCCTAGTCTCCTACTAGTGGAAACATCATTTCCATATTCACTCTACTCAGGTCTGTCAGAATTCTTCAATCAGAAAGTTTCAATCAGAACCTTCCTCATTCTTCTAAACTCCATTGAGTATAGACACGGAGTCCTCAACCAGTCCTTGTATGACAAACGTTTCATCTCTGGGATTGTTTTTGTAAACCTTTTTTGGATCTCCTCCAAACCTAGCGCATCCTTCCTTAGATGCAGGGCCCAAAACTGCTCACTATTCCAATGCAGTCTATCCAGAGATTCATAGTCTAAGAAGTACATCTCTACTCTTGTTTGTTGTATCTTCTGTATTCTATGATTAGTGTAGTTCTTATTCAGTTTGATTTATTTTTATCTAATAGGTGATCATTCCTCCACTGCTCATGATATCATGCCTGGACAGTCAACTCCTCCCTCGACTTCTTCACCTTCACTCTCTGTGAACAAGGACACAGCTGAAAATCAAGACATTGAGCATTGTGGTCCCAGTTTAGAAGAATGCATTCCAACAGGAAGAAAAATTCAGCAGGTAGTAGAGAAGTATACTAGAAACCTAAACCAATTGATTAATTCAAGTGGAAAGAATCAGGGTAAGTAATTTTGTGTTTAATACTGTTCATTAGGAAAACAAAATTTAAGAAAATATAATTTAACCCAATGTTTATATTTAAATGTTCCATCATTGTATTTTCTTTAAATGCCTGTACTTCGATGTGTCTATTATCCCATTTGGAAAATTATTCTAAGGGTTTTATAATATTCTATATTAATTTGGAGGTTGTGCTGTTTTTAACCTGTACTATGAAGAAGCTGATTTCACTGCGTGCGTACGTGCGTGTGTGTGTATAATATATGTGTTTTATACACACAGGTAAGTTTATCCGGTTTTCTGGTTTATTTCTTTTGCACAAGCAATCAGTTTTGTTGCTGTAGCCTATGTCCTATCTGATGTGCATGATTCTTGTTGTGATGCAGTAACCAGAATAGAGTGCTGCATTGCAAATTAATCTGGCTGTTGCATTGTTCATCCAGAATGAACTGCAAAGACCTCCCTGGTTATGATTTTAGATATACAATTCAGCATTTTCGTGTTTTGTCACTGCTGATGATTAAATTGTTAAGTATTTCATAGCTCCCAGATCTAATATACACATTTCTCTGTAATACATTGTCATTTTGCCCACTGCAGTAACTATCTTGATCATTCTGTTCACTTGTCTGTTTCAATCCCATTTGCCTTCTCGTGGATATTGCACTATTGTCTTGTTACACTTCGAACAAGTTGCAGAACAAAATAGTCCAGATGTTATGATGGGGCGATAATCCTTGCAGCAGCATAGACTGGGATTGCACCTTGGGACCTTGTGGGATTTCCAAAATGGCTGACTCAGGGAAATGTCCTGGAACTTGAAAATTCTGCTAGGCAATTCCGCTGTGCCTAAAACTCTCAATCTGAAGGTTCAGAGTCAGTTGAACGTAATAATTAACTGAGTGTTAGGACACTCAGACAGACAAATGAACCAAATTAGCCTTTTTGCTCCTCTTAGCAACACAGTAAAATTAAAACTTTCAAGGATCCTCAAAATTGACAGCTAGTGGTTCTTGACCAATTCCAGACACTGGTTTGTATCTTAAAACAAAAGACTTCACAATTTAAACAATAGAGTAGCTTTAGCAGAGGAAATTTTAAACAACCACGTCTGTGCTTTAAATGCAAAACTTTTGTTTTCAGCCCCATTCACACAAAAGACCGACAAACAGACAGACAATGGCTAAATAAAAGAAAACTTTAAAAGCTGACCTGATTCGCATGCTAACACAATGGTTAACCCTGCTGCCACGCAGCACCAAGGACCTGAGTTCTACTTCAACCTTGGGAGTCAGTGACTGTGTCTGTGTCTTGAGTTTGCACATTCTGTGTGGGTCTCTTCTGGGTGTTCCAGTTTCCTCCCAGGTTCTAAAGATGTGCAGGTTAGGTAGATTGGCTATGCTAAATTGTCTGTTAGTGTCCAGGAATGTGTAGGTTAGGTGGATCTTCGTAAATGTGGGGTTATGCAGGTAGGGTGGGATGCTCTTCAGAGGGCCAGCGCAGACTTGATGAGCTACATGGCTTCTTTCTTCTCTGGAGGGATTTTATGATTCTAGTTAAGTGACTTTCGCAATGCATTGTTTCACTGGCATTGATTATTGTTTCTTGATTGATTGATTTTTCTGAAGATATCGATTTGGACCACCATTTCAGTTCATTCAGATAAAGGATACCTTTTTTATTCTGAGCTTCCAAGTTTTGCAGGAGGTTAGGCAGGGAGCTTCCAAATCTTCACGCTGTGGCACCAACAGCCACATATGTCTTCACAGAAAACAGTCCAATTCCGAATGACCACTCCCTGACAGATAGCGTCCTCCACAAGGTCCCAGTTAACATTCAACATCTGCTTGAGGATAGATCTTTTCCAGACTTTCTGGAATCAATTCCCAGGTACAGCCTTCATTAGTAGCCACCTTCAGTTATGTGACGGTGCATTTGCAGAAATCTTTATCAGGAACAAACCTGCAATTAACTTTCACACCTCACGAACAATCAAAAATTGTTTGGTCTGTTTTGCTTTTAGTTCAAGCTGTTACCCACAGTCCAAAAGTTATCTTTCACACACAGTTCCCAGTTCACTGCTCCAAACCAAAATGATGAAATCAGTGAGGGTTTTAGCACAAATTTTAGAAGGTTAAAAACCTATTTGTAATTCTTAAATAATCATTAAACTGAATACCCCTCTTCCCCCCCCACCCCAAACTCACCACTGACCTCTGCATCCCCCAGTTAGTGCAGCACCAACACCTGACCCAACTCTCCTACCTACCCTAAGCACTCTCACACTTAGGAGAGGATGGGAAAATTGTGCTACCTGTCCTGCTTCCTTCCTAGGCATTCTTGCTCCCAAAAAAATGCACAACCAATCTGGTAGCCTTAACCTGTCGTGGCAGTGTGCACCAACACCTGTGTGGTTTTGCAAGTATCTGTCGGGAAGTTAAACTTTTAAAATACTGTACTCATTGGTGTAAAAGAAGGCATGATTTTAACAACAATCTTCTCCATTGCCGGATTCGAAAACTCTTGGCCTGCTTTACAACAAAATGCCCATGTATGGGAAATATGACTGTAGAAATCATCAAAAAAGCAGAGGATATTTTTTAAGTTCAAATAGGGTTTCTGACCCTGATTGGAGTTTCTCAATCAAAATTGTCAACGTTGAAATCTTAACAGCAGGAATCATTCGTTGTTTGCAGTTTTGGAATCATTATACATATTTGTTGTAAGATGCAAGTGTAGAGTATTTTAATTTTGTTATGATTGCTGCAATGAACTGCATTTGCACTATCCAAAATCAAGGTGCTTAGGCCCTGAAAACAAGAAGAACAACAGCTAGAATAAAACAACTGTGTATGCTGGAGGTCTGAACTCTGCTATAACTTAATGCCCAAGTACATTAACGAGAGATTACATTATTCACCCCCCACCCAACCTTTCCTCCTCCTCTCATATCTTTTCCACCCCTCTTCCAGTATGCTCAGGACAGAATGATTTGATTTATTTATTGTCACATGTATCCTGTTACAAAAATGCAGTGAAAAGTGTTGTATAGTGTCGCTACTCTCCAGTGCCATCTTAACACAGAAAAATAAATCAAAACATAGAAAAAATAAAGAAAGTGTCCAACTTTACAGACCTTCTTGTTAAGTGCTCCATTCTGGGTCATGGGTGTGGTGGTCAAAAATGAGTCTCCTTTACACTGCTGCCATTGGAATGAAAGTTGCTACTGTTTGGCGCCATCTTGTTTCCACTGACACCCTCACTATGGAGTCTTTGCTGGAACTTGTGAATGCAGACAACAATAAGAGAAACTTTGTTAATCTTTTCTAGATTATCTACTCAAGGAAACCTTGTTAGTGAATACTACAATGCTCATGTTCACAGCAAGATTTTTTTTTGTTCATTTTCTTCAGTTCTGACATGGAATTAAAAAGTCATGGAGTCGTATTCCAGTTCTATATGAGCTTAATTTCCCAATTTTTTTTTTCTAGACCCTGCAACTGTTCATAATACTTCAACCCAAGGAGTCCCTAATTTCCATGTCAAGCTACAGTCTTCCCAACCAGATTCGGATCTAGAATTGCAACCTTTGGAGACCAGACCTGATTTTGGTGTTTCAAGTACTTCATTGTCTTCTACTTCTAACAAGGTGCTAAGATTTGATTGTAATGCTAAGCCACTGATCTTTTATGTATGCTAGAACAACTTTGTTTCTGAATACAACAATGGCTGTAGCGGTGCTGCTTCTTCCCCTCATCCTGAACCGGAAACATTGATCCATTCTTCTGCCAACTTGCATGTTTTTCAAATTCTCTTGTTCCTTGCCTGGATCATAACATCTCCTTGATTTCTCTGTCTCGGTATTTACATTTGTGACTATTTTTCATAATTCATTTACGTTTTGAAGTTTATGTTCTTTATAATCATGGGCCATTAAGAATGCACAGTATTTCAACTTAGAATATTTTAAAACTTTTATTTTAAAACTCATCAGTTTCCTAACGTGTGCAAAAGTGTTAAATCCAAATGATTGCCTGCAAGATAGTATTGTCTCTTAACTTTTATCTTCTAAGGTTTCATGATTATGATTGTCTGGAGAATTCTTGGTGTGGCTTCTTTTATTCAAGGAGTTTAGAGGCCAGATATTCTTTCCTTCAAAATGTCAAACAGCAATTTTTGGGGAAACTGAGGCAGCATTACTTTTAAACTGTTACAGAATTCAAATGTCCTTGATACTGATAGCAACACACACAATCAACATTCAAATCCAGGCATCAATCAAGTCCAGGCACCAATCAAGTCCTTCACCGACAGTATTGAATCCACTCCTGACCATGGAAGTGGAGTTTGCAATACAAGTCAAAGGAACAAGTACATTCAGCAGGATTATGATTTTGGTGAGTGTCTGTCTGAAAAAGAGAAAATTCACCAATTCCTCCCACTGCAGTATTAATGTGTCTGAATGTGCCCTTGAATACTCTTGTGTAAAGTGTTTTGAAAAATGTTATATCATTGACAAAATGTTTTACGTAAAACTTTGTTTTCCATAATTCTGTAGAAGGTAAAAACAAAGGATGTACGCACATATATAAAATAGAAGTGACCAGATGCATGGAAGTTAGGAATAACAAGAGTCAGAAAACACTGGTGGTAGTAGGTAATAGGCCACCTGATAATGGTTATAATGTTGGACAAATGACTAGGAGAGAAATTTATTGGAGCTTGGAAGAAAAGTTTGTAAAAGATGTTATACTTACGAGGGTGTTTGACCTTCATAAGGACAATTGAATTGACATGAGTGCTCCAAAAGATGAGTTTTTTGGAATGTTTTTGTGACACTTTTTTGGAGCCCCAAGAACATAGAACTAAGAGCAAGAGTGGGTTATTCAGCCCTTCTAGTGAGTTCTGGCATTTGTTTTGATCGTGGTTGATCTATGCCTAAAGTCCATTTTCCCAATCTCCATAATCTTCAACCCTTTACTAATTAAAAGTCTGTCTATCCCCCTTCTAAATTTTATTCATTGTCCCACCATCCATCACACTCGGGTACTGAATTCTATAAGTTCACAACCCTTTGAGACAAGTAATTTCTCCTGATCTCTGTTTTAATTCCGAGCCCTCTGGCTGTTTCTTGTCAACTTCCTTTCCCCCTCGATTTGACAGCAAAGTTCCCATTAATCCCTACCCAACAGTAATTATACAACGAGTATGTCATGAAGCGGAGTAGGGCCTCTGAGCCTGGTGCCACACTTTTTTCTTTTTGTTTCTTTTCCTTTTTTTCCCCTCCCTTTTCTCTTATTTTCTTTTATATCTTGCGTCTTGTTGAAGAGCCCAGTTGTGACAGCGGCCAATAGGCCCATTGTGGACTTGTTGCTGTTGGCATCTCTGCAAGGTGGCGGTGGTGTAGGCTTGTCCACTCCATCCGCTCTGCTTCCATTTCTTTTTTCCCCTTTCCTCGTATATCTTTTCCTTTCTTCACTTAACTTTTTTTAGCTTTTCTCCTGCTAACTTCTGAAGAAAGGCAGCAATATCAGGCTCATTGAATTTGCAGTCATCTAGATGTCCAGTGCAGGGCAGCGGCTAGGTACCTGACCTGGGACACTTGGTGAGTTCTTGCAGCCCGGTGCGCCGACTGAAGGTGAGGCTGAGGCCTGGTGCAAACGGCACCTGGATCAGGGCTTTGGAGATCCAGGATCCAGCGCGGCGATGGAGGTTCTCCTGATATGTACAGCAACGATGAGAGCAGGGGAGATCGAGTCCTTTAAGGAAGTGTGGTCCCAGCATGGTTAAGCAATTAAAGACTGCAATGGTTGAACTTTATAGCTTTATTTCTTTATTTTTTGACTTTGCACTAAGAAGGACTGTAACGTTTAACTATTAACTTTTTTTTAACGCTATGCTAAGAGTGACTGCCATGTTTAACTTTCAACTTTGTTCCTTATTCCTTTCTTTCTTGTTCTTAAGTTTTCGTATCTAGGCACATGTACCTAAGATGGTGCCATATGTAACGACATTGCAAACTTCTCACTGTTCTTCTGTACTTCTATACTTGAGTACACGTGACAGTAAAGTCTAAATCTAAATCCACCACCCATATCCTAAATTTATGGCCTCTCATTCTAGATTTCCCACATGAGTAACCATCTGTTCCATGTCTACTTTGTCATTCCTCTGTAGTATTTTGTATAGCTCTATTAGATCTCCTCTCATTTCTAAACTCCAGTGTATAGGCCTAAAATGCTCAAACTCTCTTCATAGACCAACCCTCAGCTCTGAAATGCATCTAGTGAATTGTCTCAGAGCTGCCTGCAATACAAGTACATCCCTCGAGTAAGGGACCAAAATTGTACGCAATACTCCAGGTGTGATCTAACTAATACTTTGGACATAACACAGTGACATTTCGCTTTTTTTTTCAACTCTTTTTTTTTTTCCTTCAATAAATGCGAGAATTCCACTTGCTGCCCCACCCCCCCGCCTTCCCCTGTTACTGTCATTTGCAAATTTGGCTATAGTACGTACTGTCCCAGTATCCAAGTCATTAAAATAAATTGTAAATGGTTGGAACCTCAAGAACTGACCCCTGTGGCACCCCACCTGCCAACCAGAAAAAGACCCATTTATCCCATCTCTGCTTTCTGTGGGTCAGCCAATTCTCTATCCAAGCTAATAAATTATTCTCAACATTCAATGATCTTACCTTGTATATTAGCTTTTTGCACTGCATCTTATCAAATGCCTTCTGGAAGTCCAGAAATACTACATCTATAGGATCCACATTACTCATGTTGCTTCGTAGATCTTCAACGCCAGCAAAATAATCAAACAAGATATACCCATCATAAAACCATGTTGACTCTGATGGATTGTACTTTGATTTTCCAACTGTCCTGTTACAATCCATTATCAATGAATTAATAACAATTTCCCAACAACATGTTAAACTAACTGGTCTGTAGTTTCCTACTTTCTGCCTTTTTCTGCTCTTCTCCCCCACCTCGATCCCGAACCATTTTGAATAAGGATGTTATATTTAGCATTTTTCCAAGACATCGGAAGCTTTTCTGCACCGATAGGTCGCCTTTCTAGCCTCTATACGGTCCATTTCCCTCTCTTCCCTGCCTATTTGCATATCTGTCAAAAGGCGTCTTAAATGTTGCTATTGTATCTGCTTCTACCACCTCATCTGGCAGTGCATTCTTGTTTTTAAAAAAAAAAACACTTAGCTCTCACATCCTGTTTAAATCTTGCCCCTTATACCTTAAACCTATGTCCCATATTATAATAGACAACTCTACCCTGTAGAAAAAAATCTGGTACTTCATTCTAGCCATGCCTCTCCTAATTTTGTAAACTTTTATCAGGTCATTCCTCATCCTTTGTTCAAATGAAAACAAACCCAGTTTGACCAGTGTCTCCTTTCATAAGTAATATCCTCCAAATTAAGCAATATCCTAATAAACTTTCTGTACCTTCTCCAAAGCATCCACATCCTTCTGGTAGTGTGGCAATCAGAACTGTATACAAATGTGGCCTAACTAAAGTTCTATACAGCTGCTGCATGACTTGCCAATTTTTGTACTCTGTGCCCTGATGAAGTAATTATGACATACGCATTCTTGATTACCTTATCCACTTGTGTTGCCACTTTTTAGAAAGTGGATCTGAATGACTAGATCCCTCTGTATGTTAATGCGTCTAAGGTTTCTGCCATTTACTATATATTTCCCTCCTGCGTTAGACTTTCCAAATGCACCATTTTGCATTTGCCCAGATTCCATTCAATCTGCCATTTCTCCACCCAAGTCTCTGGCCAGTCTGTATCCTGCTGTATTCTCTGCAAATCCTCAAGTGTCCATAGCTCCCCAATTTTTGAGTCATCCGAAAAGTTACTCATCACACCATTATATTCCCTTCCAAATAATTTTTATACATCCATAATAAACAAGAGGGGCCCCAGCACTACTGGTCACAGATTTCCAGTCAGAAAAGCACCCTTCCACCATTTACGTGGAACAATCCCTCTTCCGTACCTACACCGGCCCTAAACCCCACCTCTTCCTCCGTTACATTGATGACTGTATCGG